AGTACAAAATGAAACTCACTGAGACAAAACCCACGCAGTCTTCCCCCCGGGATATCAGCCCTGGGAAAGATAAAAGGAGCAGGGGGGGAAGGGAAGTGTTGCCTGCTAAAAAAAAAAACCGATGGAGTTTTGGGAATGGAAGGCATGGACGAGATTGGGGGGGGACTACATGTGGTACAATTCAATCGGGGGAACATAAGGTAGTCATTGCGTGGTGTATCCCCCCATCAAGAAGAGGAGGCCAAGAGGGGGAATAGGGAAAAAGTGATGGTGGCCCAAAATGGTGGGTGGATGAAGAGCTCAATCGTGCAGAGCAAAGTTTTTGGTTATGGGTGATTTCAACCACAGGGAGATCGACTAGGAAAACCCGGGGGCCCCTGGGGGCCCCAAAAAAATGGAAAGCCAAGATGTTAGTGTGGTACGGAAAACCTCTGCTCAAAACCCTCAGGGGGAAATACCCGAGAGATGGGGGAGGATGAACCAGCAAGGGTGGACCGTGTGTTTAACCCCGAGTAGCTCGACATTGATGACATAATACGAGAGGCCCCCAGGAGCTGTGACCCCGTAGTCCCGAGTTTTTATTACATAGAGTTACAAAGGGGGAAGGGTAAAAGGGTTTAAGGGGAAAAGAAACTATAAAAGGGGGGATACACAGGTATGAAAAATTTCCTGCCCGAGGGGCAGTGGGAAGAGAAATGGTAGGAAAATAGTAAAGAAAAGATGGAATATGTAAAAACAAAATCAGGTGGGGAGGAAAGGTTTGTTCCCAAGGGCAAAAAAACAATGGGGGGGACCAAAGCGAAAGTCCCTTTGGGTTTTCCCGAAGGTGCAGGGGGTGGCAAAAACTAAGTGCATTAGAGAATGGAAGAGGTATAGAAGGCAAAGGACCCAGGAAAACAAGGAGATCAGTCGAAGAGCCAGAAACAAATATGTACAGATAAGGAGGGAGGCCCAGCGACAGTACAAAAATGACATAGCATCGAAGTCAAGTCTGACTGCTGTTTAGCCACATTAGGAGAAAGACAACAGTCAAAGACTGTAATCAGGCTGAGGAAAGAAGGTGGGGAACTCACAAGAAACGATCAAGAGGTATGCGAGGAGCTCATCACAAGATTTAAGGAAGTATTCACAGTGGAGACAGGAATAGCCCAACAAGTGCTGGATGATATGCACATAACTGAGGAGGAGGTGAAGAAGCTGCTAAGTGACCTTGATACCTCAAAGGCGATGGGACCGGACATCTCCACGTGGGTCCTCAGGGAGGGAGCAGATATATTGTGTGTGTCATTAGCCACAATCTTCAACACATCCCTTGAAACTGGGCAATTACCTGAGGTATGGAAGACCTCAAATGTAGTTCCCATTTTTTAAAAAGGAGACAGAAAAGAGGCACTAAATTACAGACCAGTGTCACTGACGTGTATAGTATGCAAGTCAAGGAGAAGATTATCAGGAGGAGAGTGGTGAAGCACCTGGAACGGAACAAGATTATAAATGACAACCAGCACGGATTCATGGAAGGCAAATCCTGTGTCACAAACCTTCTTGAGTTTTATGACAAAGTTACAGAAGTAAGACACGAGAGAGAGGGGTGGGTTGATTGCATTTTCTTGGACTGCAAGAAGGCCTTCAACACAGTTCCTCACAAGAGACTAGTGCAGAAACTAGAGGATCAGGTGCATATAACAGGAAGGGCACTGCAATGGATCAGAAAATACCTGACAGGCAGGTAACAATGAGTCATGGTACGGGATGAGGTATCACAGTGGGCACCTGTGACGAGTGGGGTCCCACAGGGGTTGGTCATAGGACCAATGCTATTTTTGGTATATGTGAATGACATGATGGAAGGGATAGCCTCAGAGGTGTCCCTGTTCGCAGATGATGTGAAGTTAATGAGGAGAATTAAATCAGATGAGGATCAGGCAGAACTTCAAAGAGACCTGGACAGGGTGGACACATGGTCCAGCAACTGGCTTCTTGAATTCAACCCTGCCAAATGCAAAGGCATGAAGATCGGAGAAGGGCAAACAAGACCGCAGACAGAGTATAGGTTAGGTGGCCAAAGACTGCAAACCTTGCTCAAGAAGAAAGATCTTGGGGTGACCATAACACTGAGCATGTCTCTGGAGGCACACATCAACCAGGTAACTGCTGCAGCATGTGGGCGCTTGGCAAACCTGAGAATAGCATTCCGATACCTTAGTAAGGAATCACTCAAGACACTGTACACTGTGTACATCAGGCCCATACTGAAGTATGCAGCACCAGTTTGGAACCCACACCTGGTCAAGCACGTCAAGAAATTAGAGAAAGTGCAAAGGTTTGCAACAAGGCTAGTTCCGGAGCTCAGGGGTATGTCCTACGAAGAAAGGCTGAGGGAAATCGGACTGACGACATTGGAGGACAGGAGGGTCAGGGGAGATGTGATAACGACATACAAAATACTGTGTGGAATAGATAAGGTGAACAGAGACAGGTTGTTCCAGAGAGGGGACACAGAAACAAGGGGTCACAATTGGAAGCTGAAGACTCAGACGAGTCATAGGGATGTTAGGAAGTATTTCTTCAGTCACAGAGTCGTCAGGAAGTGGAATAGCCTAGCAAGTGATGTAGTGGAGGCAGGAACCATACATAGCTTTAAGACGAGGTATGACAATGCTCAGGAAGCAGAGAGAGAGAGAGGACCTAGTAGCAATCAGTGAAGAGGCAGGGCCAGGAGCTGAGTCTCGACTCCTGCAACCACAATTAGGTGAGTACACACATACACAGACACACACACACACACACACAATATTCAATACATCTATCGAAACAGGTAGATTGCCTGAGGCATGGAAGACAGCAAATGTGGTCCCAATCTTTAAAAAAGGAGACAGACATGAAGCACTAAACTACAGACCAGTGTCACTGACATGTATAGCATGCAAAATCATGGAAAAGATTGTCAGGAGAAGAATGGTGGAACATCTAGAAAGGAATGATCTCATCACCAGCAGCCAACATGGTTTCAGAGACGGGAAATCCTGTGTCACAAACCTACTGGAGTTCTATGACATGGTGACAGCAGTAAGACAAGAGAGAGAGGGGTGGGTAGATTGTATTTTCTTGTACTGCAAGAAGGCGTTTGACACAGTACCACACAAGAAATTAGTGCAAAAACTGGAGGACCAAGCAGGGATAACAGGGAAGGCACTGCAATGGATCAGGGAATACTTGTCAGGAAGACAGCAGCAAGTAATGGTATGTGGCGAGGTGTCAGAGTGGGCACCTGTGACCAGCGGGGTCCCACAGGGGTCAGTCCTAGGACCAGTGCTGTTTCTGGTATTTGTGAACAACATGACGGAAGGAATAAACTCCGAGGTGTCCCTGTTTGCAGATGACGTGAAGTTGATGAGAAGAGTTCATTCGATCGAAGACCAGGCGGAAATACAAAGGGATCTGGACAGGCTGCAGACCTGGTCCAGCAACTGGCTCCTGGAGTTCAATCTCACCAAGTGCAAAGTCATGAGGATTGGGGAAGGGCAAAGAAGACCGCAGACGGAGTACAGTCTAGGGGGCCAGAGACTACAAACATCACTCAAGGAAAAAGATCTTGGGGTGAGTATAACACCAGGCACATCTCCTGAAGTGCACATCAACCAAATAACTGCTGCAGCATATGGGCGCCTGGCAAACCTCAGAACAGCATTCCGACATCTTAATAAGGAATCGTTCAGGTCCCTGTACACCGTGTACATTAGGCCCATATTGGAGTATGAGGCACCAGTTTGGAACCCACACCTAGCCAAGCATGTAAAGAAACTAGAGAAAGTGCAAAGGTTTGCAACAAGACTAGTCCCAGAGTTAAGAGGTATGTCCTATGAGGAGAGGTTAAGGGAAATCAACCTGACGACACTGGAGGACAGGAGAGAGAGGGGGGACATGATAACGACTTATAAAATACAGAGAGGAATTGACAAGGTGGACAAAGACAGGATGTTCCAGAGACTGGACACAGCAACACGGGGACACAGTTGGAAGCTAAAGACACAGATGAATCAAAGGGATGTTAGGAAGTATTTCTTCAGCCACAGAGTAGTCAGGAAGTGGAATAGTTTGGGAAGCGATGTAGTGGAGGCAGGATCCATACATAGCTTTAAGCAGAGGTACGATAAAGCTCATGGTTCAGGGAGAGTGACCTAGTAGCGACCAGTGAAGAGGCGGGGCCAGGAGCTTGGACTCGACCCCTGCAACCTCAACTAGGTGAGTACAAACACACACACACACACACACACACACACACACACACACAGGAGGATGTTCCAGAGATTGGACACAGTAACAAGGGGACACAGTTGGAAGTTGAAGACACAGATGAATCACAGGGATGTTAGGAAGTATTTCTTCAGCCACAGAATAGTCAGGAAGTGGAATAGTTTGGGAAGCGATGTAGTGGAGGCAGGATCCATACATAGCTTTAAGCAGAGGTATGATAAAGCCCACGGTTCAGGGAGAGTGACCTAGTAGCGATCAGTGAAGAGGCGGGGCCAGGAGCTCGGACTCGACCCCTGCAGCCTCAACTAGGTGAGTACATACACACACACACACACACACACACACACACACACACACACACACACACACACACACACACACACACACACTATATTATAGCTCTCTCCATTCACACATAAACAGTGTTTTACACCTTAATTTATTTTATAAGGGAATCAGAAGTTTCAAGAACAAGTAAAAGACTAATTGATACAAAAATATATGACAAATGCTGTAGTTAAATTTAAGCTTCATATATCACTCAAATTTTCACTGTTCATTCAAAGTCGTGTAGCTAATTCATGGAAACTCCAGCTTACCTATTTACAAAGAAAAAGAGAAAGGGTAGAATTTTTCTCTACAATGGTTCTTTACTATGGTTACAATCATACATCACCACAATGCACTGCACACATTTTCCAAGCCTCTAAATTAAAAATTTGTCTCAAAATATGTGTTCTTACCTTTCTGGTATGCAAGAAGCTCCCTGAGGAGTGTGACCATAACTAAATTTAATGTTTCCCGTACAGTACGATACGGAAACATCTTCACCTGACATGAAGCAAATACTTCAGATGCTACTTCATCCAATACTGTCAGCACTTCCTTACCCAGAAGTTTCTTAGCACTAGCAAGTACAGTCTGGAAAGAAATATTAAAACTCACAAAATAATAAAATAACTGTAAACAAACCCATGATGAGTTGTGAAACTCATTTGCCATGTCTTCAGTGTGGGGCGTTACCTAGCACCATGGCGTGTTGTAGTGTTTTAGAATCTCACATTCAAGTGTTGAAGGAGGCTCTACTTCTTCAGGAGGAAAATAGGAGGCTGAAGCTTCATCTAGATGGGTTTGGGAGTGAGTGTGAGATGGTTGTAGCTGGTAAGGAGGAAAAAGTTACCAGCAGTGATTTGGAGAGTGGCAGCTGCTTTAAGTGGCAAGTGGTTCACAATTCAGGAAGAAGGATGATAAGGAAGGTTAATACAGAAGATGTGAAGGTAGGAAATCGATTCTCTATTCTCCAGGATGAGTGTACAGTGGACCCTCGGTTTTCAAGTTTAATCCGTTCCAGAGCCATCGGCTAAAACTGAAATCGGCCAAAACTGAAACCATTTTCCCCATAAATAATGTAAATAGAATTAATCCATTCCAGACACCCAGAAGTATCAACCAAAAAAAATTTGTTTTTACCTTAAAGATAGTTACATGCACAAAAGAATGAACATTACACATAACACTTACCTTTATTGAAGGCTGTTGTTGCTGAAGGAAGATAGGGAGGAGGGGAGAGGGAAGATAGGCTATTATTTGGAAGGGGAATCCTCCTCCACAAGGACTCTAGGTACAAAGTCCTTATCCGGGGCCACTTCCCTCCTTTGTTTTTTAATGCCACTAGGACCAGCTTGAGAATCACTGGATCCCTGTTGCACAAAATATCTGTCCAGATAGGTCTGTTTCTGGTGTCTCTTTAAGATGGCATTGTCACTGTAAGCCACCAGCCCGGATTGCAACAGCTTTCTCAGGGTATGTTCCTCCACAAATGAATGTACTTTAGTCCATATTGCACAAATCTCCTTAATCTTTGAAGAAGGCACCTTCTTCTATCTCTCTTCCTCCTCCTCTGAAGTAATTTCCTAGCTGTGGTCTCTTGCTGTTGCAGATGAAGCTCTTGCAGCTCATCAGTGGTTAGCTCTTCACTGTAGTCCTCCACCAACTCTTCCACATCCTCTCCACTCACATCCAACCCCCAAGGAATTCCCCAGTGCCACAATTGGCTTGAACAACAGGTGTAGAGTCGACAGGGTCAACCTCAAAGCCTTCAAAATCCCTCTTTTGGACACAATCTGGCCACAATTTTCCCCAAGCAGAGTTCATCATCCAGGAAGTCACTCCCTGCTAAGCCTTATCTATAAGGCCTATGCAGTGGAAGATATTGAAGTAATTCTTCCAGAACTCTCTTAGGGTCAATTCAGAGTCCGAGGTTATGTCAAAGCACCTTTGAAACGCTGTTTTGGTGTACAGTTTTTTGAAGTTTGCAATGATCTGTTGGTCCATGGGCTGGATGAGAGGAGTGGTGTTAGGAGGCAAGAACTTCTGTCAGAAAACTGAATTCCTTAGACAATTGGTCTTCCAAGTCTGGGGGATGAGCAGGAACACTGTCCATTAACAGGAGGCATTGAAGTGGCAATTTATTATCCAGGAGGTATTACTTCACACTCAGGCCAAACCCTTCATTGAACCATTCCAAGAAAATTTCCCTAGTGACCCATGCCCTACTGTCAGCCTTCCACATCACACACAATTTACTTTTGACAACACTGTTTTTCTTGAACACTCGGGATTTTCAGAGTGATACACCAGTAAAGGCTTCACTTTGAAATCCCCACTAGCATTACCACACAACATGAGAGTTAGCCTGTCTTTCATAGACTTGTGTCTTGTGAGTGCCTTTTCCTCTTGCGTAATGTAGGTCCTCTTTGGCATTTTCTTCCAAAACCGGCCTGAACACTTGTTGCAGTTAGAGTTTTTCAGCCTCTACATAACATTTGAATTCCCGCACAAATTTTTCAGCTGCTTGTCTGTCTGAACTGGCACCCTCACCTTGCCTTACAACACTGTGTATGCCACTTCGCTTCTTGAATTTTTCAAACCAGCCTTTGCTGGCCTTAAATTCACCTATATCAGCACTTGTTTCAGGCAGTTTCTTTATGAGATTGTCATGCAACTGCCTTGCCTTTTCACAAATTATAGACTGCACAACACTATCTCCTGTTAACTCTTTCTCTCTGATCTACACCAACAACAATTTCTCCACTTCTTCAATTGTTTGGGATCTTTGTTTGGTTATCGCATTCACTCCTTTCGCAACATCAGCTTCCATGATTTCTTTTCACTTTGCCACAATGGAGCTGATTGCTGATGGTGACTTCATGTACATCTTGCCGAGTTCACCAATGCATATGCCACTATCATATTTTCTTAAGATTTCTTTTCTCAGTTTTATGGTGTTCCTCACTTTCTTTACCAAAGCACTGGCACTAGGAGCTTTCTTTGGGGCCTTGGTCCCTTATTAAGCAGTCACACACAATAAACAAGTGGAAAAAACAATGGATTATTACAAAATATTTTACATGACCTAGTGGGATATGTTCACTCACCGAGAAAAAACGCCACACTGGCTGAGAATAATGTGGGAAGTATACACTTAATAAAATTAACCAACTTGACTTACACAGTTCATTGAACATCGGCAAAAATCGAACATTTCCGCTACTTTGAGCTCAATTTCAAGGTACTTTTCGTCATGAAAGCAATCAAAATCATGTCTATTTCTGTAATATATCTTCCATTATATCAAATGAGTCCAAAAAATAAGAATACAACCATAAAAACCATATGAAAATATACTGCAAAGAGGCGGCTAATGCCTGAGAAGTGAACTCCCTTATTTATCGTCCGTCATTTTTATTTTTGTTGTACATTAAGAAGCATCTTTCCATCATACATTACCCAAGTTTCAATGAGATAGCCCAACAAACAACCGAGAAAAAAAAATATTTACCAAAAATCACATATGGCAAGCCCAAGCCAGGTACTGGAAATAAGTCACTTTGTCTGACTTTTCTGGGTTATCCTAGGTTCTCTATACATACACTGCTATGTATGATAATCTACGTAACTGTATTTGTGTATACCTGAATAAACTTATTTACTTCTAGTCTGTCAACTGAGTACAAGAAACCACCCATTCACTTATTTCAACTACCCAATAAAGTGGTCAGAAATTGGCAATTTGGCCAATTTCACACAAATTTCAACAGATGCCAATTTCAAAATAGGATCCAGAATGAACAATGCACACATTCCTGGCACTAAAATAACATTTTCTCTGTTCATTAGTCATGGCTACAGGCCCCTCTTATATTACTCTTGCTTACCATTTGGAATTTTTATTCACAAAAAAAAAAAAATAAATAAAAAATTTACTGTTATGCAGACTACTGCATTATTGTAATAATTGTATAAATAATATCAAGCCATTCTTGACTCCGTATTGGAATTTGGACTGGCAGGCGGACAGGTATTGGACGGTGACGTCATTTGTTTACTCTTGAGCTTCGCTAAAGAATAGAACGTTTTCGCTACTGTGAGCGCAATTTCAAGGTACTTTTCGTGATGAAAGCAATCAAAATCATATCTATTTCTGTAATATATCTTTCATTCTATCAAATGAGACCGAAAAAATGAGAATATAACCATAACAACCATACAAAAATATACCGCTAAGCGGCCGCTAATGGCTGAGAAGTGAACTCCGCTATTTATGGTCTGATTTCTTTCATTTTTGGTGTACGTGAAGAAGTATCTTTCCATCATACATTGCCCAAGTTTGAATAAGATAACCTAACAAACAAATGAGGAAATAATAATAATATAATAATAATAATAATATCTTTATTTACTACACGTACATGTACAAGGTATACAGGCCTAGCTGACATCAGTAAGTAGGTAAATTTATTCAGGTATACACAAATACACTTACATAGAATTATCATACATAGCAGCATATGTGTAGAGAACCTGGGATAACCCAAAAAAGTCAGACACAGTGACTTATTTCCATTGGGGTCCTTTTACCTTATTATTATAATATAAAGGTTACAATATTTTCTTATTATTCTATAATGATGATAACATCTTATTATCATACTAAAAAGACTATCTACTACACGAGGGTCATTAAGACTATCTACAACACGAGGGTCACTATCTACAATACGAGTGACATACTACTGCATAGAAAGGCACTTGTTATGCTGAGTATTTCAAGAAAATTAGGTCAGTGTCCCAGGATAACACCCACACTAGTCGGCTAACACCCAGGTACCCATTTACTGATAGGAAACATAGACAACAGGTGTAAAGAAACACGCCTAATGTTTCTACCCTGGCTGGGAATCGAATATTTACCAAAAATCATATATGGCTAATCCAAGCCAGGTACTAAAAATAAGCCATGTTGACTTTTTTGGGGTTATCCTAGGTTCTCAACACATATGCTGCTATGTGTGATAATCTATAGAGAGAAAATAACTTTTTTGTTTCATGTTTATGGTGGAGTACGAGTGTATATCACGGTTAGCCCTGTGCTATACTCTGTTTTCTCTAATATAAGCCCCCAAGACAGGGGATAGGAGAATGGTATTTGTTTACCATATCCTCTTCATACCTCCGTCGAACTGCTCAGTGTTATCCCAAATATTATTCATTCTGGAGTATTTAACATGTTTTATGTTATTTATATTGTTTCTTATGTCATATTAGATCAATTGTGATAGGCAAATAAGCTGTAGTGTTGATATTAGCATAATAATAAAGCATATTCTCCGGCTTCATGAGACTGAGCTCATGGCAACCGACAGTGGCCTCAAAGTCACCTTATCTTTAATGGATAATGTACTGTGTAGGTGCTTTACATAATGAGAAGCATTTCTTTTATTCATTGGAACCATGGCTAGGGCTAAAAGTAAGCAGATTAAAACAATAAATGGAGAAAAAGAAATTGGAATGACTTATGCAGCAAGTAGCGCCACCAAACAGTACCAGCAGGTTGGTGTGGCGACCCTGGAAATTTGAAA